TGGCATTAATTAATATCAGCATTCCAATAGCTCTATAGATAAACCGATAGTGCTATTGATTAAGCACTATCGGTTTATCTATAGAGCTATCGGAATGCTGATATTAATTAATGCCAATATGACATCGATTTTTATCCTATAGGTATCTGATTCCTGCCAAATTTTAACTAATATTGGTTTAATATCAGGACTGAAAATATACTGTTATGATACCGATATTTATTTTTTTGACCTATGTTATTCTTAAAAAACTTATTCCAAAGTCTCTTATATCAACAATTCAAAACTCCAACATTTCATACAAAATGGCTTTTCAAGTTATTATTAATATTCTCCTTAATATTAATGAACAATTATATGAGCAACTATAGAAAATATACTGTATTCATTTCTCTAATTGGAAAAATTAATAAAACAAATCCTGATCTCAACTAATTAACCAACCTTCAAAATCATCCAATCTAACAAGAAAACTTACATGCCCTCGAAGAGATTATACTTACTTATGCCTTTGTAGACTTCCTAATCAATTACATTCTTACTCAAATATATGCCCTCCTATTGGCCAAGCAATTCACAAAATTAACATTTGGTCCATCTTATGGATCAAATATAGCATATCATCAAATTATATATTAAACATCCAAATCTAGGTGATCTTTGACTACTCTAGTAGGTTTAGGTCACAGATAAACTAGTCTGAGCTTTTATTCTTGTATATAATTTTTAATTTATTTGTTTTGTACAAATAGTAGTAGCTATATAGTTAGCAGTTTAATAGTTAGCCCTGACTGCAAGTGTTGGTTTTGGCCATAGCATATATATATGTAACTATTTTAAATTATTAATAAAGATATAAGCAAAGCCTTACCTTAATACCAAAAAAAAAAATTCTTGATATCAATGGGTTATAAAAGATGTTTCATAGGAGTAGGGTGATAGTTTCTTCTTGATCAAGTCCATCATGTACAGGATAAGGGTTGGTAGTTCCGAAGTTTGTTAAGACCATATTTGTTCTGTTGGTAAAAATGTCCATGATGAGATTAATGATTTTTGTAGCTATAGAGAGTCAGGCCAATGCTTTGTTGAATAGTGGTATGTGTACTGAGTCATAGGCTTTGAATATGTCTTGAGATAAGGTCCAGATTTTTTGTTTTTAGTGTTTGCATTTTCTAGAATGTGTGTTAGTATTTGAATTGGCTGTATTGTGGAGTCAAATAGTAAGGCTACATGATTGTGAGGTGAAAAAATATGATATTTAAGCATTATGTTGTTGAATCAGTTAGTTATTATTTTGGTAAATATTTTCTATGAATGTTCAATAAGAATGATAGGATGGGTGTAATCAAGCTGTCCTGTAAAGGTAGGTTTTTTAGATATAGAATAGATGGTTGCTTTTTTCTATTAGGTTGGTATAGTTTCTAATAGTAGAAAAGTGTTAAAAATTTACAGTAAAATTTGCTTTGCTGTTGAACTAAGATGTTTTAGCATTTCATTAGAGATTGCTTGTGGGCCTGATGCTTTGTTTAAGGGAGATTCTTTTAATGTGTTTTCTAGTTCTTCAGTTATAATAGTGTCAGTTAGTGTAGAGTAACACTGAGAGTTTATTTTAGTAATAGGACTGTAGATTGGCTTCCAGTTGGGCTACTCTGTATTGTTGGGTGGGTTTGCCTTTGTTCAGTTTTTAAAATATGCTTGTACATGTTGTTTTATTTGTGTAAGTAAGGTGATCATGTTCTTTGCTTGTTTAATATTATGAAGAACTACTAGGTCTGTATGTCTATGCAGAATGCTATCGATCATTTTTGTTGTGTTGTCAGTAAAGTCCAAGTGTCTTTTAGAGATGGCTGTTTGAATTCAGTTTCACTGAGCTGCTTGGTTCTTGATATTTTGGGCATTATACAGAATGTTGTGAACTGTATATAGTTAGTTAACAGTATTGCTAAAGTTGGTATAAGTTAGACTATTTTTACTGAGAGTTTTAATAAAAAGATCTGTTAAGGTTTGTGTTTTTTCCAGTAGGTGGTTGATTTGTATAATAATTTGTTGTAGTGAGGTAGGTGGTTTAGTAGATGTAAGTATGTGTAGGCTTTTGTTTAGATTTTTTAGTGCAGTGTGGAGTAGTGTTGATTTTTTGGTGAATGTCAAGTGAATGTAAAGTGTAATTTTTGTTGTTGGAATTGTTTTGTTGGCTGCCTTTTTTATCACTGTACTAAGTTTATGCCATTGCTTGTTAAGGGTTTTGATGTAAGGGGTTGGATTGATTGGCATGTTATTGTATTTTCTATATATGAGTTAACTTTTGTTTTAAAGTCTTCTTACTTGTTCTTGTCTATTTGTTTGTATAGGTATATTGTTCTTTTCTTCTTTTTGTGTCTTTTATATCTGATTGTAAAATTAGTATTTCAGATTGTATGTATTATTTTATTGTCACTTCTCATAGATTCAGTTGGTGCTGTTAGGGTTGGTATATCAATTTGGTGTATTATGTCACATGACATCCATATGTCATTGATTTGGCTAGATTGGTTTGTTTGTTGCCAGATAGGTGTACTAATTTCAAAATGGTTAAGAATGCTTATAAGGGTATGAGTAGTAAGATAATGGAGCAAAGGAGTTTTTTCTTGCTTGTATTTGATAGTAAGTTGTTATTGAAGTTCCTAGCAATAATGATATAATATGATCTTGTTTGAGCCTTTTGTATTTATATTATTACTATGTTTTGGGTGCTGGTTGAGAGTTGCTAGTTGGATGTTAGTAGATAAACTAATATAATTCTGGTTTTATTGCATTGTGGAAAGAATAGATCTATCATAATTGCAGTGCCTGGGCATGTTGTGATGTTATGTATATAGAGTGAAGTTGTGGATATAGTGCAATTGCTGTTCCGAAGCTGCTTTCTTTTATTTTTTTTGTGTCTACATTACAGTTCAATGTGTATACATTGTAGTATAGGTTTGCTACTTGGAGTTTTGTAAAAGTGAATTCTGTGATTTTTGTTTTTTGCATGCTAATAATATGAAAGTTTTGTTTATACCAATATTTAAGCCAAAGTTGTAGTTTGAGGTTGTTGTTGATTCTTTGCACATTATGAATACATATTGTTAAGTTGTTAATATTAATAGGATTAGTGATAAGCTGATTTATTGGAGAGGTAGAGGTTGGTGTTAATGTATTTGAACTGCTAAGATGTGCAGTTATAGTTGAATCTTAGATAAGAAGATCTCCCAGTTTGGTTCTAGAAGAAGTGGTAGTGCTAGGAGATTGTCTAGAATGTTGTTGATAGTAAAATGTTGTCATAGTAGTTCTAGTATGTCTTTTGCTTTTGTTTGTTGTGTAATTGGAATAGTTGTTTGAGTAAAGTCTATTTTTTTCATGTTTAGGTAGTTTTTAATTTCTGTTAGTGAATTTGAAATTGCAGGTTTAGATGGGTTTTTGTTTTCATCTTGGTCTGTGTTTTATATGTCTGTTTGTTTGATGTTTTCAGATATATCAATCCAGGTGTTTGGAATGTGATAAAAGTAGTATATTTGTCTTAGTGCTATGGCTGTATCTATGAGTTCTTTAGTTGATGTTATAGAAGTTGTAATATTGAAGTCTTCAATTTCTTGTGGATCTTCAGGTAGAGTGGATTTGTCTGTTAGGTTTGCTAGCATTATGCTAGGTGGTAGAAGGAGAGAGAACTTGTAAATTGGTATAATCTAATCTATGAATCATTTTGCTTGTTGTTGTCTGTTATTAGAAAAGTAAATGCATCAAGTGTTCTAATTTTGTTGGTATCTTTTGGAAGTGATAACCTGGCTTTGATGTAATTGTTTGGAAGATTCTTGAAAGTAAATTCTTTTCTAAGAAGTTCTATGGCTTGTGTGATATTTGTGTCTGGATCTTGTAAGTCTAATGGAAAATAGAGTTTGTATTTACTACTAAGATCTTGGTATGTTAGTGGAAGTGGTTGTTTAGGAGGTGGTAGGTTGAAGTAGTTTAAGAGTATGGTTTTACAGATATAGAAGTCTAGTAGTCTTTTTTTATAGAATGCTAAGTTATTTAGCTGGCTTTGTTTAGTAATTGGGAAGAGGTGTCTCACTGCAGGGTCTAGGTCCTATATATTTTTTGAAGTTTGATCGAGTGTAATAAAGTATTCTCGTAATAGTTGCTCGAAGTTATATATTTTGTATAGTGCAGTTACTATTGCTTTTGTTTGTGATTTTTGTTTTATGGAAAGGCTAAAAAAAAGTATCTGTAGAATTTCACTAGGGATTTCTTTTGGGTTTGCAGAAAGTGGATCTAGTTGTGAAGAGAAGGCAGACTATATTACATCTTGTATGTTCTGAAAGTCGATTGGAGTTTCATCTCTAGTAAAGTTTTTATAATATTTGATTAAGAAGCAGAGGATTCTGGGCATATTTGTTAAAAAGTTAGTATTAGTTAGATAGTCGAATATGATTTTTTGTTTGAGTTTCATGTGTATGATATCTCTAATTGCTCTGGTTGTTATTGTAATTTTATGAGCTTTTTTGTAGTTGTCTATTGCTGTCTTGAATAGGTCTTTGTAGGCAGTCTGGTGCTAAGGTATCGAGCATTTATCTCTTGTAAAAGTAAGAAAAAATGCTGGGTCTTGATGTTTGAATTTGGCTTCAATAACTGGGTGAAGTAGAAAGTTAGTAGGTTTGGTAAGTAGTTTGTGTTCTATAAAGTCATAAATTTCTTTTTTTGTTTTTAAAGTAGCAATGATTTCATCATAGTTCCATAGTTCTTTGTTGAAAGTCTATGTGATTTTTTTTTGCAGATTGTCACATATGCTGTTTACCTATTCTTTGGTATGGTCTATTTTTATGTTATCTTGTGTCATGTTTTGTGTAATGATATTTCTTTGTATGATTTGGCTGTAAGTGAGGGGCTTTTGTTCATCAGGATTGCTGACTATTGTAGTGACAGATTCAGTTTCCATGTTTAGGTTGTCAGGGTTTGTTTGTTCTTTAGTCTCAAGTTTGTTTTGTTGTATGTTTGTAGAGTCTAGACTGTTTGGTATGAGCCTGTCTGTGACATGTGCTCTGCTTTGCTGCTGCCACTTATAGTAATATTTGTGTAATCATTGTGAGTAATAGTGATGTGGCTATTGTCAGTGCCTGTATTCTGTTAAGATGTTGTCAGAACTGGTTTAAGTAAGTTTCTTGTTGTTGTTGTTTGCATTTGGTGATGTTATAGTAGGATTTGTTAGGAGTAAGCTGGGTTGCCCACTTTTTTTATTGTTTTGTAGTCTAGAAAGAAGTGTATGTCTTTTTTTTGGAGATGTGTTGGAATATGTAAGGTCTTGTTAGTTGTTGCCTTTATTTTTTTAAAGTAAAGTATTGCTAGTGTTTGCAGTTCATTTCTTTATTTGTAGTTGCAGTGTAGTCTCAAAGAAGAACTGAGATGTGGGGCCAACTTGCCTATGTTTATTTTCTTTGTCTATAGTAGTATCAAGAGTTTTGTTCTTTTTTCTTTTAATTTTGTCTTATATTATAATTGTGCTGCTTGTTATATGTATCAAATATAGCCCAAGGGTCAGAAAAGAGCTAGAATCTATATTTATTTAGTTAGTATATTAGTTAGAACATAACTTATTTTTGTCGATTATTTTTTACTTAGTGTTTTTGTAATCTGTGAGAAAGAATTTTATTTTTTTATTGTATTAGTATATTGAAAGATAGCACAAGAAATTTTTTATATTTAAAAATGAGTATTAACAAAAAGGAAAATTTTAAATAATATTAATGGATCTATAGTTAAATAAAGTTAATGTTACTAGAAAAATTGAATTACAATTAATGCTATTTTCTTATTAGTTTATTTTTAATACATAGACTTATTACTAATACTTTTATTGGTATATATATTCCTTGAGGTTTTTATTTTCTATTGTACTAATTCTTGAAAATAGTACAAGAAATTTTTATATTTAAAAATAAATTATTACAAAAAAGAAATTTCTAAATAGTATCAATAGTCAATAGTTTTATTGTTAAATAAAGTTACTAAAAAAAATTAAATTCTATTTCTTATTGTTTATTTTGATAATCGAATTACTAATACTTCTATTCTGGTATATATATATTTTTTAAGATTTTTATTTTCTATTGTATTAATACTTTGAAAGATAGTGCAAGAAATTTTTTTATATTTAAGAATGAGTTGTTATCAAAAAAAAAATTTTTAATTAGTTTCAATGATCTTGTAGTTAAAAATACATTTTATGCTTTAAATTGTTTCAAAAAAAATAAGGTTTGTAATTATAAGAGGTTGCCTAAGAAGATATAAAAAGGAATTATTAAATAACTTAATGCATTATTTTTGTACTTCTTTTTATTTTTACAAATTAGACTTTATTGTATTAAAGAAATTTTATTTATCATAGAAAATTATAGTAAAATAGTAAATAAAAAATATATTACTAAAATATATATATAATTTTGTATTTAAAGACCTTTTGTTTACCTTATCTCATTATATCAAATATTGTAACTTCTAAAACACACTTTAAAAATAAGTTATTAAATATTTATTAAGTTACTTGCATCAAAAACATAAAAAAAAGTTATTTGTATATGTAAAGTATACAAAGGTAAAAGTAAATTCTGTAATTTTAAACAAGAAAACTCATATTGAAAAATATGGAATTTGTAAGAAATTTGTAAATTCTGTTAAACCTCAATCTGATATTCCTTCTCTCACTAATTTTCAAATAGAAAGCAGTAGCATATCAATTGGTATTTTTATTTCTAGTTTAATGAATATTAGTTTTCAAGAAGAATTATTTCTTGTAGTTACAAAAGATAAAAGAAAAACAAGCTATAATTAGAGAACAATCATATATTAATTTAGTTAAAGAGAATTTAACTACCTCAAATTATAATAAAGAAGTTATAGAAATAGAATTTGAAAGTAATAATAAGGATATCATATTAGACTATTTAACTCCTGATATTGAAAATAGTGAAGAAAAAATATTCAAGAATATTGAAAATCATAATGAAAGATTTAGTTAAATATTAATTTGAATCTTGAAATACCAACAAAGATATCAGTTATCAGACACTACAACAGATTTTTTATTTAAATTTATTCATTATCTATTGACTTATCTTAATCAAGATTAGTTTACAAACTTTCCTAAATTAATCTATTTGGTCTGAAAATTAATAAGATTAGGTCTATATATAAATAATTATACAACATGTCTAGCATGTAATAAATTATACAACTATAATGAAGTAATAATAAAAAAGCCTAGACAAATCCCAATATGTCTTCATTGTACCTTTATAGAATATTCTAATCATCTAATATTTAAAATAAAACAACTTTGTAATCAATTATTAGCAAAGAAAGTACCTACAAAAGATGGAATATTGTATTATTCTTTGCTTTTTTACTCAATAATAAATATTAAAAATCAACTTCAGTTATTATACAGCCAAAGAGGATTTGAAAAATTATATAGAAAATGGGTTAATAAAAAAATAAATAATAATTATCTTGCTGATATTTATAAAGACAATATATAGAAGACATTTAAAGATCAAGATACAAATTTTTTTACAGCTAAGCATGCTAATACACATTTAGGCCTTATAATTAATTTAGACTAGTTTAGTTCTTTTCAAAATTATATATTCTACTAGAGTAATATATGCAGTTATTTGCAATTTGCTCTGTAAACTCAAATTCAAGTCTCAAAATATAAACATCCTTGCATTATTATCAGGGCCAAAAGAAGTTAAATTACATTACATTTATCATTATCTTGTACCTTTAGTTGATCAATTACTTGAATTGTAGAATGAAATAGAAATCACTACAAATAAATTACCTATAGATACAAAAAAAATTAAATGTGCTGTTATATGCTACTCATGTGATATTCTGATAGCTAGAAAGTTATATGGACAAATATTAGCAAGAATTGCATGCTTTTAATATAAAAAACATATGCAGTTTGATGCTAGACATCAACCTAACTTTGGTGAATTTGTAGATATGAATGACTGGTTTGTAGAGTATGATGTTGATGAAATTAAAATTAATGCATATGCATAGTTATAGTGCAAAACTAAGGATCAAAGAAAAAACACCTATTCAAACATTTTGTTAAATAGTTAGAACTTAATCATTTTCTCTATTTGAATCCAGTTAAGCATGTAACTGTAGACCTAATACATTGTTTATTTTTAAGAATTGCTATAGGTAAAAGATGGAAAATTAAGTTCTAATAGTCTAAAACTTATAAATAAAAAAGCAAAAATATTACAGCTTCTATCAGATATTAGGATAATTCTTTATAAATTGCCACAAAAGAAGAATTTTTTGGATATATTGCAGATTAGTGATAAACATTTATAATAATATATGCTACTACAATTACTTAAGATTTATTAACAGAACCAGACCAGCATATTTTTGCAAACTATGCTAGAGTATGTAATCTGTTAGTTTGCAGAATATTAAACAAGAAGACACTTAATAAAGCATATTAAAGATTATTAAATATAGTAAAGTTAATAGAATGCCATTATAGTTCTAAAAAAATTACTTCTAATATCTATTTAAGTTTATATTTATATAAAAATTGTATGGATTATGGTCCATTATATTCATTTTGGTGTTCTTTTTTTAAGCATATAAATGAAATATTAAGTAAATATCAGAATATTATAACTATAATTTATATGCAGCATTGTTTTTTTTAATAATATTTATAATTATATTTTGTAGACTTATATAAAAGTAGTTATAGGAATATAGAACCAGAACTTATAAGAATTATTCTTGTAAATAACTATTTAAACTAAATTGTATCATATGCAGAAAATAATAATAAATTATCTAATTCTTTAAAAATATTAAAAGAAAGAAAATCAAGTGACAGTATAGATACTTTAGATGAATTTAAATCACATGATCTTTTTTAATTTTATAAATTAAAAAACCTTATTAATGAAGAAAAAGCTTTTGATGATAAACCATTTTCTGGTATATTCCTTGATCTAAAAATGGAAAATGCTATATTATCATTTAATATATTAGATTTTTTAGTTAAATATTATAATAACATAGTAATAGATTATCAATTTGTTAAATCTAGAGATATATATACAATTGGTCAGATATTTGTATTACACATTATTAATCAATATGAATAATTAAACTTGGGGTCAGAAATTTTTGGATCTACATTCTCAGTCTATTATACTAAATTTTTAAGAATTCTGGCAAAATTTGTTGCTTCAGAAGATGAAACAGTAAATTCATATTCTGGTTAAGTTTAATTCTATTTTGATCATACTATTTATCTTTTTTCTAGCAATCAAACATATTATCTTGTCTTTGTAAGATGGTATAAACCTGGTAACAATTATAAAACACAGTTCTATATAAAAATTAATAATAATGTCTTAGTTGTAATATAAAGTTATGGGTCCAAGAATTTTATAAGTTAAGCAGAGACTATATAATTCCTATACATCAAATTTATTACTAGTTTATACTATTAGAAATATATCTCTAAAAACATACATGACAGTAATTTCTTTACATAGAAATTATCATTTATAAATACTGATATATAAATTAGCATTAATAAATACTAATATATAAATTAGCATTAATAAATGCCAATATATAAATCAGCATTTATATATATATTAAATGCTTCAACTATTGAAATATTTAAATAAAATTATAAACATATTATATATAACTTATAAAAAAGCTGTTACTATATATATGTATATATTTAATAACTCTCTTCGTAGATCATTTATACCAAAACTACAAAAAAACATTTGATTATTTCTCAACATTCTACTAAGTAAACCTTACTTGAC